AAAGAACAGATTCACTTCTACATAAGTAACAATAACACTAAGCATCTCCGCCTTCAGATTTAGTCTGTTTTTCCAGCTTTTTTTTTGGAGCCACTCTCTCCACAGGTTGCCAGCAGTCTTGCATCAGTTTCAGCATCAAATATTTCAGCTGAAGAAAGAAACTACATAAACAAACAGCAAAATCTGATTCAGTCATCTTCACAGAAAAAAAAAAAAAAAAGGAATAAAAGAAAGAAACAAATCTAGCAGCAAACAACAAGGGAAGGGCAAACTTCCAGATGAGGGAAGCAAAGGAGCTCTAATTCATCACTCTTGCAGCTATCAGATGGTTAACAAATTGAGATGAGATACTTCTGAGCCTTTCAGCGACTTTCGCTCTGGCAAACTTAAAGGATTCAGAAGTGCAGCTGGAATACATATGGGAGATGTTGGAGAAAGTTGATCATTTGAATTTGTAACTCCATTGTGTGCTGGAAGAACTTCCTGCACATGAAGCGCGTCCCATCAGCGACTCAGGGAGACTCTCCGTCTGCTAACAGGCATGAATTTATCCTCTGAACCAGCTACCAGAAGTGACATGCTTTATGTTAGTGTTACATGTGCAACAAGAATCTTAAAATAAAGCCAGTGGGGACATAATTTCTTTTTTGCTTTCTATAATCTCTATACTCCAGCATCTCAAACGGAAAAATACAAAAACCAAAACAAACCACTCACTGATATTTTTATGAAACTAAGATTTCACATTTGGATCAAAGTGTTTCATTCAACATAATTTTTTATCCAGAAACCATTTTTAAATCAAAATCATATTTAGGTTATGTTCAGCACTTTAAAAAGAACTGGTATTAATAGAATATTATTGTGCTGGGTTTATCCCATTAGACAATCCGTTACCAGTTCACTTGGTTAATACAACACAAACTCAACTACAAACCTTTACTACACAGCCTAAGTTACTCAAGCATCTTCTCCAAGTTACCTTTACTCCTTTATGAATGTTATAGCTCCTGTTGCATATAAAAATTATCTTTATGGTGGTTTGAAATTAGCATGCAGAAGATGGAACAGAGGGGACAAAAGGAAAACACTAGAGAGAAAGCACACAAGCCCCTGTCTCCCCATCACCAGCCTCACTCCTGGAATTCAGAACACTGCAGCTACCTGTAAACTGAAGCTACTAAAAGCTACTCGAGAGGTGTACTTGGAGAAAAAAAATTGAGAAGATGACAAAAAAGGGCCACAAAAATCACAAATGTAAATTAATAATCAAATATACACACACAACAAGGAGACAGATGGCAAGTAATTTTCCCCAGTGCACTTACACTTGTTCTTCTAGTGCACGTATTTGGGTCACTTGCTAGATTAAATCTCATGTGGCAGACCCAACAGAGGTACTGTCAAATGTGTATGGGCTCAGCCTGTTTTAAAATGATGCAAGTCTGACACTACAGGGTGAAAACATTTAACAGGATTTTTTCAACGCAGTCTGGAATATTGCCCAGTGACTTTGAAACAAGGCTGATGGATATTTTCTACCATCAGCAAGGCTGCCCCATTCAGGCCTGCTAAATAAAATGCAGTGTAAGCTAGAGAAAGTTGGTCTGTGCTACCAAATTTCATGGAAGAGCCCTACACAGACAGAGACAAATCTGTATGCATTTTCCAGAACACTGATTTTGACAACGTGTCACTGAGACAATACATCACTCAAGGTTAAAGCTTCCTACTGTACTGCCCCTAAAATATGCCTTTCTTCTGAGATTTACAAGAAAGGACCACCTCAATAGATGAGCTGCTCTTGCCACGTTCACTGTAACAATGCCTGACCTCGGATACACAGAGCACTAAATCTTCCCCTCCCCAGCCATAAACTGACAGTGACCTGTCTTAGTCAGCACAGGCCACATGAAGGATGACAGCCTCAGTGTCAGGCACCTGCAGCTCAAATTGCCAGGTGAGCTGCTGGGGCTTAAATGGCAGGCAAAAATGGTCATGTCTACGTGTAAACCTAATTGTAGCAATGGGTCTCCCTCCTGTAATACTGGTAGACACTAGCATGAAACACAAACTGTGTGTGCAGAGATTAGGGCCCCACCCTTTAATCTGGGAAGAAACTGGATTTAACACGGTGCAAGAAGTAATGAAAATTGCATTCTCTACCCTGTTACCAGTTTCAAGATGATTCTGCTTAACAATAAATAAACCTTTATTAACAAGCAATGTGAGCTACTTAAATATTTCTCCCCCTCTTTCTTCATTCAGCTCTTGCTTTGGGATACTACATACCACATTCAGCTTCAAATAAATAAGTAAAAAGAGAGGAAAAATATATCTATTTGCTCCCAGCTGAACAAGGAGATTTTGAGCTAGGGAGGTGAAACTTTCAGTAATAATGTACACACATAACTAGGAAATATCACAGCTGTCTGTAAGAATTACAGTGGTGGGGACAAGGGTGGCAAAAGCTTATGTTTTCTAGGTCTACATCTACAGAAGGAAAAAAAACCAAAACATCCAATAACACTGGCCTTTGTGCTTAGAAACTGACATGTGACACTTTCATTCAAGGTAATCAATACATCAATGCTCAAAAATATTGGGATTGTACTGATTATGTGCAATATATCTGCTTAGCCTGAAAGAAACGAGTTAAGCAGGTTAATGACAAAAAGTAAGAACATGTACATTTGCTCACCCAACTTCCTCAAGCTTAAAATTCATGCTATTTCAGTTTAAGTGGGTAAAGGTTGTGAAACAAAACATTGAATCCTTTGCTACAGAGTCAAAGCCCAGACTACAAGCAAGCTTGTTATATCACTGTCCATAGAGTCTTTAGTTTGGTGCCATGCTGCTGCTAAAATATTACATCTTACCATTGGAAAATTGATTTTGCTATAAGAAGTTTTATGATGCCACTTAATCTTGCCCAACCTACATAAAAAAATACAGAAAGCAATTACAGACACCCTTTTTGTAGTAAGTTTGATCACTATATTAAAAAGAGAACAGTTGATGCAATTTCAATATAATAGCAAAGGAAGCAGAATAAAAACCATGGCAATATGCTGCCCTCCTGAAACAAGACATGGTTGGTTCCCAGCTTTTAAATGCATAATCTTGGTTCAGTTCAAGTTAGTAGCATAATCCATCTCCTACATGGAGGCTGTGTCCTGCAGCTCCAGCATCGACCTCCTTTTCTACTGTTACATTTCAAGCCAGCTCCTGCAGGGCAGCAAGATTCTGTGATTACAGTTAAAAGAATACTTTGGGTCTGCGCCTGCCTCTTTGAATAGATAACCCTTTCTAGTTCAATAATTACTAGCATGAAACAGCCCTTTCTGCCTTGTCCCTTCCAGTGCTGCAATTGAAAAACATTCTAATTAGATGACCCCACATACAGATGTGCCATTAACTGGCTTTTACAGCACTCTAGTCAATGCCTAAATCTTAACTACAATGATGAGAAGTACTTTATTTAGTTAGGAGGTAAACACATGAACAAAGCAATCTTTTCGAACACCTTTTAAACAGCATGAGACTAGCACTAGCAAAATCTCTCTGTGATTATCTTTTCCACACTTTCAGAGATGACACTCAAATACCGCTTTTTTCTAACTGCATTAAAGCACACTCAGGCAAAACCAAGAGTAACCTTGACCTCCACATCAACAGCACCAGAAAGTACTTCATACTGCTTTCCATGCCTAGTCCATTTGAACTAGCCTGCAGGACAGGCTTTTAAGCTTGCGCTTAAACAACCCAGTTTTTGCCCAAACACTGCAATATTTGCTATGTAGGGTTATGTAAATATTCCACAAGTCCTGCAGTTCTTAACTATAATAAGCGGGTTTAAAATAGCATCACTGTATCAAAATATTCACTACTTCCTATTGATCCAACTCAGACCTCACATTTCAGGGCAACAGCAGACTTTTCTCTTTTATTGTCTATGAATGAAGCTTCAAAACTTTCAAATAGGTTTAAGAAAAATCACTTAGAAAATTGGAAGACCCACAGAAACCTAAAACCGTTTAATTGCTCACAAGGCTTCAAGTACATGTAAATGACCTGGAGGGCTGAAGCCTGAATTGCCACATTCTGCAGCCAACTCTGTTCTCAGCCAGAGACCTATACCAGGACTAACACTTGGCATTTGCTTCCAGTATAATAGGTTTAATAGTAGCAAGCCTTGAAAACAGGGGGGAGTATTCTGGAAGCGGTGGCACATCTTACATGCAGCAGGTGCACTGTAATACCGCTTAAGGGAGGAAAATTCCAAGTTTAGTAACTAATTACTTCAGGACAGGCAGGTTATTTCCAAGGCAAATGCCTAATCAAACATGCATCTGACCCTTTCGCATCCCATCAGCGCACCGGGAAGTTCAACTCACCCTGCAAACATCATCCTGATCAGGCACATCCCTCATCCCACCTCGCCGTGCTTCCTCCCGTTCCCTCCTCTCACACCAAAGGCTCCAAGGCACCAACCCTGCCTGTCAGCTGCTCAGGGAGTTCGCTGGCACCGCGAACCTGAGCCATGCCGTAAGAGCCTCCGTTCACACACCCACCCAGGGGCACTCCTGGCTCCCTCCCCCCGCTCCCTGCCGCACAGGCAGCCCCGCACGCGTGGCCAGCTGCCGGCTCCCGCAGGATTCCAGCCGCGCTGCCGGGACGGGATGAGGCCGGGAGCGCCGCGCCGGGCCCGGCCGAGCCCCCCACCCAGCCGGCCCCGGGGCAGACGGTCTCCGGCTCAGAGGAGAGAGGCTGATGAAACGCTGTCAAAGTCAATCCCGGCTCACTTTTTGGATGGTTTAATTCCAATGGAGCATGAATCACCCCAGGACGGTTAATAAGTTTAGCCAGGCGTGCTGTTCTCCCTAACAATACATTATAATTATGCATCTGTTTTAAATGCGATCAGATTAAGTCACCGGAAAAGGCACAAATCGGAATTTCCCCCGACTAAGGACAGCGCCTTTCCGCAGCTCCGGCGGGCAGGTACGGCCAGGAGAGGAGCAGGTGGGCAGCCCGAGCCAGCCCAGCGGCGCTCCCGGCCGGCGGGGCTCCGCTCCCCGCGGCCGCCCAGCGCAGCCGGGCAGCGCACGGCAACTTCCCGCGGGCGCTCGGTCCCGGCGGAGGGGGAGAACGGGACGGGAGGCGGCTGGGCACCCCGCTGACACCAAGCATGAGGGACCAGCGCAGGACATGCCAACTTGGATCGGCGGGTCCCCTCCCTCTGCGTGGGGCTGGAGAGGACCGAGTCCGAGCCGCCAAAGCCGCGGGACCCTCCGGCGCCGCCCCGGGCACCAGGAGGGGGGCGGCCGAAGCTCCTCTCCCGACAGGTGAGCAACCCCCGCCCGCCCAGCCCCGCCGCTCCCCGCCCTACCTGTCATCGTAGCAGAAGTCGGCGCTCAGGGTGTTGAGGTACAGGGCGAGCCCCAGGGCGCTGCTCAACAACTCCGCGATCATCTCTCCGCCTGCCTCCGCCGCCCTCTCTCGCACCGGGGCAGCCTCCTGCCCTGCCCGGCCTCCCGCGCCAGCCCCGCCGCGCCTGCCCCTCGCGCCCCCCGGCACCGCGGGGCGCCGCTCCGCGCTCCGCCGGCGGCCACAGCCTGACGGCGTACCCCGCTCCGCCGCCCCTACCCCATGGCAGCGGGGCGATCGGCGGCGACGGCGCAGCTGGGCTCAGCGGAGCGGGGCTGAGCGGAACAGGGCTGAACGAAGCGGGGCTGAGCGGAGCGGGGCGCGGCTGCAGCTCCGGCTCCCGCCTTTCTCCCGCGGCGCCCCGGCGCTGCCGCAGCTCCGTTCCCCGCCCGCACCCCCGTCGCTGCCGAGCCGGGCGCCGCCGCCGAGGCTCTGGGAGCGCCCGCGTGGGGCGCCCCGGGCTCGGTGGGGAACCACAGCTCCCGGCGTGCCCCGCGCCCCGCCCGCACACGGCTCCCGGCATGCCCCGCGCCCCGCCCCGCCCCGCCCCGCCCCGCGCGCCGGCGGCTGAGGCGGCCCCGCGCCCGCTGCGGAGGTTGTGCCGTGTCCCGCTGCCAGCTGGGCACAGTCGCGGCTTATTTTCCTTCTCCTTTTCTCCTTTTTCCATTTTCCTATTCCATTCTGCTTTCTCTTTGACTTTTCTCCTCTTTCTTTTCCCTTTTTCTCTGTTCCCCTTTTCTCTTCTTCCTTTTCCCGTATTTATTTTCCTGTTTCCCGTTTTCTCCCTTTTTTTCTTTTTGTTCAGCCGTGCTGAATAGGTCAGATTAGTAGCAAAGAGAGGGGCTATACCTGTATTGGGGATGGATGCCGGAGCAGGGGGTTCCACACTTGCCCACAGCCTGCTGTTGATCAGTGTGAAGTCCACAGGGAGCACTTAGCTTAGCTCACAGTTAAGCAAAATCACTGAAACTTGGCAGAGAGGGTCGGAAACAAACACACCCCAAGGCAAGGAGCGCTGCAAGCTGGTGCTCCCTCAGGACATCCCCACACCTGCTGCTCGCGAGAGGAGGGGTGGGTATAGCCAGGGGTGTGCACTTTGAGTAGAACAGATAAATAGACTGGAAAGGAAAGCCAGCTGTGGAAAATAATCCACTGAAACCATCTTCCAGAATTCATGGAATATAGAGGCATGAAATTATGGAAGGGATTTGGGTCCATCAAGCTGATTATTTCTTTTTTATGGAAAGTTTTTAAAACATTGCCTCCTTTTGCTGCTAGCCAGCCCTTTTATGTAACTGTTTCCTCATTATTTCCATCAAGTGGCACATCACGCTGTCCCAGAAGAATGGGTGTCTGTTCATCAAGCTGTGTCTAATAAACTGGGGAACTTTTAACAAGTTTTCTTTCTCCCCTATGTGATTATTTAATGCTGTTCTTTGCAACCTCAAAATATACGAAGTGCATTAAGACCTCTTTTCAAGCAACGCTCAAAGTGCTCCTGGGAAGTCTGCCCCAAGTGTCACAAACATCTCAGCTGCTTCTACTTAGATTCAGGGAGTGTGTTATCACCATCAGTGGCAGTAATTGCAGACATGGGGGGAGGGTGCATTTTTTTCAGAACATTAAAGCTCTGAGGGGCCTTACTGAACCCATTAGCAAATCACATTGATCTGGCATCAAACTTTTCAGCCTGAAGCACTGAACATAGCAACCTAGATTTTAAAGAGTTGGTACTCTTTGTCAGAAGACCTGTGATCCTTCCTTTCAGCCACCAGTTCTCAATATGCTTCTGGACCTACTGCCAAGATCCCAGTGATCACGACTTAGTCCTCCTTGCTGCAGTGGAATTGCTGAATTCACACTCCAGGATTGTACAGCTCCTTCTGTAGAACATCCTAATAAACTCTGCATTAAAAGCAGTATAATTGCTGCTGAGTCATAGTGGCAGAGGCCTCTCGTTATCCATCAAAAGCATATGTATTTTTTCTTCAGAGAGGTAGGACTGCAGACTGGGGTAGATGAGGTCTGGCAGAAAAGCTTTAGAAACAAAATAGATCCTCCAGGGAAAAAAGTTCAACAAAGCCAGGCACTGTCTAATAAAAGCAAGTGTCAAGAAAGGGTGGGATGAAATGTGTAGACCGTGTAGAGAGTGCTTGTTCCCCAGGACATCCGAAGTGCTCCAGGGTGACTGGAACCAGCCTGTCCAAGCAGATTTGTCTGCACTACAAGAATCCACAAAGTCTGTATCTTGCAGACACATTTCTTGTTTCTTGCAGAAACAAAGGGCAAGTTTCCTCCCAATGGCAAGAGCTGTCTCCAGTGGACATAACCTGCTTTGTAGAAAAATACAGATGGCAACATGTGCATGCACCAGCCCCCTGTCAGCTCTGGGACTCCACAAGCCAGGCCACACCAGGGGCAGCAGCCAGAAAGAGCCAGTGCAGAAACCTGGAGACAAATTGAACATAAAAATTATTGACCCTTTTAAACAAAGCCACAAAAGACAAGAGGGTAGAAATAAAATAATTATAAAATAATTCTTAGAGTTAGTTAAAAGTATTAAATGCATGTGGTTATAAACAACATTATCTTTTACTGTATCATTGAGAGATATCAGACAACATTCTGATTCATAGCAGATTTACAGTGTGATGTACAGGAACCACAAGGTGTCAGAAGAGCTAATTTAGAAGTTCAGATCTGTCACTAAGCAGATATTTTGAAAACAGTCTTCACCTCCAGAAAGTCACAAGCTGTGGTGCCAGGGAAGAGGTGTAGGATTGTAATTACACATAATAATGACAGTAATTGTAAAGATAACTAGAGTTACAAGGTCTAACAGCTGATCTACTGTGTAGAGCCTGGTAGACAAATTCACTTTGTTTTGCTTTATTGCAAATATGACAATTAAAGTTATCTGTTTTAATACCAGCTGGGAAATTTCTTCATTAAAGACATTATGGACTCTGAGTCACCATGCTACAAGACATTTCACCTAAATGGTGCCTGAAAGATTAAGTTGTGGCACAGCATGTAGAAATACATGTCTGTCACAGTGACAGATTTGGTTAACCGGTCACTGACTATGAGACCTCAAATGTCAGGGTAATGCATGTGCTACAGATCCCTCAACAGATTAGATTAGACACTTCAATTTCTATACACTGGGTTCATTTACTGGAGCTTGTAAAAAATATTTGTGCCAACTTCCTTAAAGCATCTGAGAAGAGAAAGGCTAACCCCTTGAAAGCTGCTGGGTTTTTTTATTAGAATGAGGTAACTGGATATTAAATGTAACTATAGGAATAATTAAGTGGATTTTTTTTTTTGCCAGCTCTTATGCTCAGATACCATCAAAGAAATGTCATAACATACTGTGCCTAATTTTGAACAATCCAAATGACACCCAAAGATGTAGCTTAATGAACCTCAGAAATGTAAACTTTGGTCCATTTTGAAATACCCATGCAGTCAAGAATAAACTGGTGTTATCTAAGGAAGGAAAAAAATATTTTATTTGATTAAAAGTGCAGAAAGAGGAGTAGAGGAGAATGCTTTAGCCAAGTGCTGCTTTCACAATTAGTCACTGATCCATAGAGGCAATGTTGGATTCTGTGGACTAGAATCCAAGCTGTTGTTTTCCTTTCATGCTAACAAGATCATGTTAATCTTCAAAGACACCAGTGCTTCTGCTTTCTCTAAGAAATTGCTTTTGGGGTTTTTTATGTTTGGTTGGTTGGTTGGTTGGTTTGTTTTTGGTTTTTTGTTTTTTGTTTTTTTTTTTTTGCTAGTGTTATGGTAATAATAATATCAGCAATGACAGCCAAAGTAAAACTAAGTTGCAACTCCAAAACTGTAAAATTTCATGGAAATCTGTATGAAATATTGTAGATATGACAATAAAAATTAAACAGATGCAGGAAAAAGAAGCACACACAGGACTTCCATCAGTACTTGGAAGAGATTTTAACTTAACACATTTCTTAAGGATGTACATTTCTGGGAGGCACCAGTTCCTACTTTAGATCAGTCAGTGGAGCTAGAGTATTGCTGCAGAGCTGGAGAGAGAGAGAGGGGGAGAGAAAGGGAGAGAGAAAAGCGATGCATTTTTAACTTGACCTAATCTAATTATGCAGACTCTCTCTACAGAGGAAAAAATATAGTTCAAGGGAAGTTTCTTGTATGCACAAAACATGCAGGAGCATTTGTATGACTCATAGGTGAGCATATCTCAGTGGCAGAGAAAAAAGTACTTTTTAGTCTTTTTTGAATTTTCAAGGATTATTTTCTTAATATTACTCCATTCTAGACTAATCCTAATCTGCTTTGCATATTTATCTCCCATGTCCTTTGAGATAGCTCGAAGAGAGATCAAAAAGAGTTTTTAATCCTTCTTGTTCAGAGTAAGTTGACAGTATAAACTTACTAAATGCAGATATGTCTATTTGTCATCTCCCAGAACATGATGCTTTTACTGTTTTTCTCATGCTTTGTAAAAATAGCAATATGCCAGTTTTGGTTTTTGGAATTGGTTTGGTTTGGTTTGATTTTTTCTGGTTTAGTTTGGTTTTGTTAGGTTGGGCTTTTTTGTAGTTCTTTTTATCAAAACAGCTCAAAGAAATATAGATTCTTAAAAGATGACTCTGGAAGTCATTTAGAATTAGCCTCATGTTATACAGGTGGAAATCAAGGCAACTGGCATTTGTTTCAGTTTATCCAAATCATATGAGAACTCTACAGCAGAAGAGGAATCTATCCAAGGTCCCAGCCATGATTCCAAGTCATTCATTTGCTTTCATCATGAGATCATCCTTCCATTCACAGTAATTGATATTTCCTTAGACAAAACACAATGGAATTATCTCAGGGATTAATTTGGCCTAGGACACTAATTCTGAGAAAAGTTCTACTTGACAGA